TTTCTTTATACAGCAGCACCTCCAAAGCTTTCCAAGGTACCCGAGGGCATCTCTCACCCCCTGGACTGCTCCCACTGCCCACCCTCTGCGTGTCCCCCCCGCCCAGGACACGCCAGGATCCAGGGGGGATCCCGGGCGCCGTGTGACCCTCCTGCAGCTCCGCACGCCCCCAGCCCATCCTCGCATTAGGATGCGGCGCATGGCCGGCATTTGGATACCAAATGTGCAACCAGCAGGGAATGTAATTGCGGTCCCTGGAAAGGGACAGGCGGAGACGGAGACGGGCACGGAGAGAGAATCCTGTCAGCGACGCCGGCCCGGTGGTGTCTGCTCTCCATTAACCACTCGCCGCAGCCCTGGGCTGGTGAGGAATTGCTAACACGGCTTAACGGGCTGGAAAAGAGGGGTGGGAAGGGCTGGGAGTGATCTCGGCACAAAGGGAGAACAGAAGGAGGAAAACTAAAAGAGCAGGAATTGCACAGGACGAGGCCGAGCGCTGGCACACCCAAACACCCCGAGAGGGGACTCGGGCTGATGGTGATACAGGAACAACCCGAGTGCCAGGGTGAAAATTCACATTAAAACAGCTCCAAGGGGGAAACAGGGCATGGTTGTTGCAGGGGCTGATGTGGGCCCCAGTATGATGTCCATGGGAGCAGGGAGGGGAGACGCAGAGAACTGGGGACACGTAGCAATGAGGGTGACCCCAAAAGTCTCAACCAAAGCCAGGACACAGAGGTTTTGGGATCCAGCCCCAATCCAACATGGAGACATGGGTGGGATCGCCCAAGCTGAGCCCTCTCACTCAGCCACCCCTCTGCAGCACCAAATTCCCCTGGAAAAAACAGATGTGGCATCCTCGTCACTCCCTTGATGGAGAAGTGGGACATGCAGCCACCAGCGGCCTGGCCACAGCCCCTCGTGACACACAGGTGGGCAAGTTGGCCCTGGCTTGGGTGGTCAGTGGGTCACAGTCACAGCCACACTTTCCTGGCCACGGCCACCGTGGCTCTTGGACAAAGCACCAGCGACCGGCAGGCGCCAGGGCTGCAGCTCCAGAGGATGGGAATGCAGGAAAAAGGGGCACAAAATCCAATGGGATTGGGAACATGATCTAAATCACCTCCAAGATGTGCCCCACTCACCTCAATTCCACCACCACTGTGGCAGAGGCACCTTTCCCCCCTAAAGTCCTGCTCTGCCACCACCGCCGGCCCTGAGCATCACCTGGCTCTGTAAATCCCCCAGCCAGAAACCATTTCTCTGGTTCTCGATCCCGGGATTGGGGAGTGCAGAGGAGCAGAACAGAAATCCCAGCTGTGCTCACAAACCACACCGAAAAATAATACAGAAATCAGCAAAAGAACCGCTCGGAGGCAGCGCCGTGACCTCGACGTTAAACCAGGCCACGGGCACGGTCCCGCCCGGTCCCGGGGATCCGGGCCACGAACAGAGGGAGGAGAACCCCTGTCACTCTGCACATTCCTGCCGTGGATCCAGGCACACGGCAGTGACCACGGGATTGCTGCAGGAACACCGACCAGCATTCAGGAACAACGATTCCCTGCCCGCCACCCGGCTGTCGGCAGAGCGGGGGACGGCAACAAATCCCAAACCCTTCATCCTTCCTTGGCCTCCCAGGGGTTTCCAGCACGGCCACGAGACCACGGGACAGGATCACAGGCCTGGGGACCTTCTGAGCACAGGTCACTCCTTCCCACAGACCCTTTCCCCCATAGCAGGGAGGTTTTCCCAGATCCCTGATTTTTTGTCGCACAGTGCCACGTGCCGAAACGTTCACCCTAAACCCCCTGTGCTGGGGGGGGGGGGAATGGGGGCCAAAACTGGACACCCCAACCCGCTGGTGATGCTGGACACTCCAGCACACCCAAATCCACCTGGTTGGCTCCCAAGGAAAATCCACCCTGGAATCCTACGGGTGAGCGGCTCCCGCACCACAGAAAACACGGAGTGACGGCGGGAAGAGCCCTGGGTGTCGTGGCAGACCCCTGCCCACAGTGCCAGACCCCTGCCCGCAGTGCCAGACCAGGGAGGAGCCCCAAGGTCCCCATCCACGGGCACATCACCCCGGACAAGACCAATGGATCCACCCATGACCGGCCCAGCCATGGCCAACAGATCCACACCCGGCGAGCGACCATCGGCAGCGCCCGTGCGTGCCACGGAGCAAAAACCCACACTTCCACATGGTAACAAAACTGCCCGTTATTATATAATTCTACCTTCATCATCCTTCATTTTTTTTTTCCTGGATAAGCCAGGAGTTCCATCCTGCCAAACGTTTTCCTAGCGCATCCTTACAAAATCATTTAAAAATAAAAATAAACCTTGTAAATCCACAGCGAGTGGTTAAATCTCTCCCCAGAACAGGGAAATTGCAGCATCCCGAGGTACCACTTATTTTTAATTTAGCCCCAATTATGAAATATAGAATTATTCTAATCTGGGCAAATCATATCGACCAGGAGATTTATTCCTGTCTTTTATAAAATATAGATTGCTGTATAAACCTGAGAAAAAATATTTAGCGGCAGAGAAGGTCTGTGGGTTCAAACAGGACATTTTAACCTTGGGTCTTTTCCCCTTTTTTTTTTTAAACCCCTTTTTATTTCCCCCTTACTAAATGAGGTGTTGGTGGGGGGAGAAAAGAATGAAAACAAGCGACCAGAACACACAGAAATACATTTTTCCCTTCATTTTTAAGAATGAGGCGGTCTTGTAGTAACTCCAGAGAAAAAATAAACCCACCGCTGGGTTCAAAAAGGGAATAAGCAGGAAACTCAATGGCAATTTCAATCTTTGCAACCCCTAATAAATTGCCTCGAATTCCGAGAGCCGAAGGCGCAGGCGGGGAGCGCTGGCGACACGGGGCGCTCCCACATTGGGGAAATTTGGGTCACATCCCGGAGCCAGGCGCTGCGGACGTGCCTGCTGAACCCACCAGCCATTGTCTGCTCTCCCCTCCCAGCCCCTCGCGCTTCCCTCCACTCCATTTTTATTTTCCCCCCACTCCTCGAAAATATTTTCCCTGCCAACAGCAGATTTAGAAATGTATAAATATATATGGAATAATGATCCACCGTGGATTTGTCGAGGAGAAATTCTCGGCGGGTTCTACGAGGGCGCGAAGGGGATGGAGCCGACGCCATCAGCGGTGCTGGGTCCCGGGACGCCCGTCACCAGTGGCCAAGGGGCTGCTTTTGCCTCTTGGCACCACCGTTGGAACCCTTGGGTGCCAAATCCCATCCCCAGGAACCCCTGGGTGCCAAACCCCAAATGTGAGAACCTTTGGGCGCCAAATCCCAGCCACCGGAACCTTTGGGTGCCAAATCCCAGCCACCGCCCCAGCCACCCTCATTTCCAGGATGTCAGAGTTGGACTGGGGGGACACCCCGCACACGTTTGGTATTTGGGAGAACAAAAATACAGAGTGAGGCAGCTTGGGGGGGAGCACCAAGAGCTGAAATCAAAAACTTCGCAATGGGCAAAAACAAAAAAAAAACAAAAAAACAAAAAAAAAAATAGGAGAAAAAAAAAATATAATTCCCTGGCTCTTACAATCCCCCACAAAAATGTGAGGGAGATAATAAAATCCATATGCACCGCAGGCGGCCCACGACGCAGGCACCACCGCCAAGGAACCACCACAAGGCACAAAGGCACGGGCTCACCCGATTTTGGGGCGGGCAGAGGGGCACAGGTGGGTCCCCCCAAAGGGACGTGTGGAGGTCGGATGGACACCAGGTGCTGCTGGGGGTCCTTGGCCCCACGCACGCCCCAGCGCCGAAACGCCGCCAGGAACTTCACCCAGCTGCACCGGTGTCACCGAGGGAGAGGAGGTGGCACCGAGGGTCCCCTCATGGATGGCAGCAGGGGATGAGGCACCCGGAGCTGCCTCATGTCCCTGGCAGCCTTGGGGACGAGGACCAGGCCACGCCGTGCCCCACAAGGCCACTTGTCACGCAGGGATTGAGGGGGACAAAGAACCCCCTGCTTGACCCAGAAAAGAGGAGAGCCCAAAGCCGGGGGCCACCGGGGCTGCACCCGCCAAGCTCGTCCCTCACCACTCACAGACACTGCCAGGCTTGGGAGAACTTTGAGGAATTTTGGGGGAAACGGGGATTTGATGGCTGGTGTTTGTTTTTACAGGAACCCCCACAAATAAACCCCAAAGAGTGTCCCCAACAGGGAGAGCGGGGGGTCCCAAGGGTCCCAACCACCTGAGCATTCCCAGAGTAGAATTCCTCCCGCTTCCAACTCACCAGCAGTTTTGGGTTCCTCAAAATCATGAACAAAGAAATACGACAGAAACAAAACTCTTGCCCCCAAAGAAAAAAAAACACTTGGTGGGGAGAAAAAAAAACACACAGAAAAATTGAAATTCCAACTGGAGTCTGGAAACGAAGCCAACTGTGGGGATTGCACTTCCAGGATGGGAATGACCCGGGAGCAGCAGGGCCGGCCACCCCCGGCTCCACACGCCCCGTGCCCCCCTCAGGCCCGTTTTTACCATTTCCCCCCCAAATCGTTCTTCCCGACTCCCCCGCAGCCGCACCCGCCGCTTTGGGCAGATTTCGGGTTTTTTTTCGCAGAACCTTCACCCCCGGAGAGGGACCGGGGGGAGGAACTCGAACTTTCCCGAAGTTGGGCGCGGAGGGGCCGGGGGGGCCGAGCCGCAGCCGCCGCCGCCCCCGGGAACGCGCCCCGCGCCCGGCGATGCTCCCGGCGCTGCCGCAGCCCCCGGGGACGCTCCGCCCGGGGCCCCGCGGGAACTTTCGGGGGGAGGGAGCCCCGGGGACCACCCCCCTCCCCGGGGCCGCCCAGCCCGTTCACCGGACCCCACCGGGGGCTCGAGGGGGCCCCGACAGCGGCGGCCGCTGTCACCGGGCGGCAGCGGGCGCTCGGCGGGTGTGTACACCGGGGGAAAACACCGACTGGAACTCGGGCGCCGAGGCCGCCCCCGCCGCCCCCCGCCTCACCTGGGATTGCTCCGGTTCCAGTAGACGGCGAACCGGTCCGAGATAACTTTCCCGGTCTCGTCGGTCCAGACGCAGACGCCGAGCAGCGCGGCGAGCAGCGCGGCCGCCCCGCAGCGCACCATCGTCCCGGCGGGCGGCGGGCGCGGCTCCGGCCGCTTCAGGGGGCGGCCAGCCGCATCCCGCGCTCGGGCGGCGGGGACCGGCCCGGTTCCCGCGGCGCCCCGGGATCGCCCCGGTACCGGGAACCTTCCCCCCCCACCACCACCACCACCACCACCAGCACCTCCTCCCGCGCCCAACTTCGGCCAAGTTCCTCCGAGCCCCGCGGCGCCGCCGCCGCCGCCCGGTGCCGAGCCCCCGGTGCTGCCGCCGCACCTACGGGCTCAGCCCCGAGCCCCGGGCCCATGGGGACAGGGACATGTCCTGCGACCTACAGGTGCCAGACAGACAGACAGTGACAGGAGAGTCCCACCCTCTGCAGGGACATTTTTTCACCTCTGACATAAGGATAAATTAAACAATAATTTGCATTAAGGGATCACTCTGCTTTGTCGAAATCTTGGAAAACAGCGATGGGAATAGCACAGAGCCCTGAAGCTGCTGCGGGGCCATGTCCATCTCTGGGGAGGACAGACTTTGGGGAGTACGCGGAAAACCCAGTGGGATTTTTGGTCACAGGTGTACCACCCAGCCACGTCCCTGAACAAGGACACCCCACGGAGCCAGAGCCACATCCCCAAGGCTGGACACCCCACGGTCCTGGAGTCACATCCCTGAGCAAGGACGCTCCTCTCGGGCTGTCCAGGGGAGATGGTCCTTGCTGGGCAGGACCTGCTCTGCTCCCAGAGTCCCCCCAAGTTCCAAATAACTGTTTCAGAAGGATGAGTGAACACAGAGAGACTCCTGACCCTCCTCCCCAGGGACCCTGGAATGTCCCCCTGGGTGTCCTGGAGTGATCTCCCAGGTCCCCCCTGAGCCCCTCAGAGCCAGAGCTGGCTGCCACCAGAATTCCTCAGGTGCCTCCATATGCAAAGGCACTTCCAGTTGGATTCACAGAGCACCAAGGTGCCCATTAAGTCCATCAGGAGGAGCAGTTCCAGCACATCCCGCTGCCTGTCCTTCTGCTCAGCATCCAAATATCCCTGCAAATCCATCTCCGTCTCACGAGCTCTTAGGAGTTTGTCCGTGCTAAAAGGGAGGGAGCGGCCCAGTGTAAAACACCTCCAGCGCCACACGGAGAGGTGGGATATAAATAAAATATGGATCCTCCTCATTATTTATTTAGCAAATCTGTTTAGGAAAAACTCCACGGACTGCGGGGCTCAGCATCCCTCCTCCCACCCCAAACCAAAACAAACAAAAACCAAATTATTTCGGAATAATGCTGCCGGCGCAGCCTCCCGCGCCGCAGCTCCATCAAGGTTATCCATCTCCCCACCCTGCTCCCATCAGGATCCGTCTCCATCAAGCCCCCGACAGCCAATCTCCCTCCTGTCAGCGGACGCTGCCGTAAACCCGGACACTTGTCTGTCAACTTCATTTGTTTCCATTTCTCCAGCCAAGCCACTAAAAGCCTTTCTGGGCTCTCCAGGAGGCTCGGCCGTGGTTCCCATGGTTTCTCCCAGCTCGGGGACAGCGGTGTGAGCTCTGGCAGAGCCACATTCCAGGGGCAGCTCCAGGGTCATGGCAAAATGCATAGGTGCACCCCACAGAGAAATCCTGTCAGTGTCTGTGGTTTGGGGAACGGGGATGATCCAAAGGGCACCGTGCTGGCCGAGGGGTCAGCCACGCCTTGGGGTGCCAGGTCTCCAATGGGCACTGGCTGGATGGAGATTCCCAGTTCATCCCAGCTCGGCCCAGGGCATCCCAGTTCAACCCAGTGCATCCCAGCTCAGCCCAGATCAGCCCAGCTCAGCCCAGTGCATCCCAGTTCAACCCAGCATATCCCAGTTCAACCCAGCATATCCCAGCTCAGCCCAGCTCAGCCCAGTGCATCCCAGTTCAACCCAGCCCAGTTCTACTGGAGCTGCGTGGGATCCCAGATGAAATTCCCTGGAAAACGGGGTGATCCATTGGGATCAGGCAGGAGCAGCCCCACACTCACTCCAGCGCCTTCCCTCCCAGCCAGGATCAGTCCCAGCCTGAGGGAGAGCCCAGCCCTGCTTTGCATGGAACGACTTCTCCTTCCCCACTCCTGGTAACGGGAAGGAAAACCTTTTCCAGGATTTTTCTGGCTTCTCCAAACAGCACCAGGTTGTTTTTCTAACCAAAGAAAACCAACGATTTGCCTTAATTACTGTAAATCCTACAATTTCCAGCCCCCAGCTCCATGCAGGGGGCAAGGCTGGATGCAGGGAGGGATAATTCACACCCGCCTTCCTCTGCATTAATTGGATCGGCCAGGAAATTATGGAAAATATTTGCTACTGATAGAAAAACCCTTCCCATTAAAAAGGTGAGGCGTTGCAGGGAAAGGGCCGGGAAGCACCAGCACAGAGCAGAGCCAGGCTGGGAATGGAGCTGCAGCAGGAAAAAAAGGGGCCTGGGCGGGTCCCTGAACTTCCTGAACTGGAAGGGATCGGTGTGATGGGAAATCCCAGCTGGCAGCAGGATCCAGATGCCCGGCATGGACACAAGAGGGTGGTGCTGATGCCCCAGCCAAGGGATCCTTGGCATTGGTGGCACCCACAGGCTCCAGTCCCCATCCATGGACTCTGATCCCATCCAAAGGCACCGACCCCCCAAAGGACAGGGAGGGGCCCATCCCTGGCTGGAGGGGCTGGGGGCAGCGCTGGGGACACCCATCTGTGTGGCCAGACTGGCACAGCTCTGGCTCCCAGGTTTTGCTCCCTGGAGCCTCCCACGTTCCTTGAGCTCCCAGTTTATTCAGGATACCAAGTGAGCTGCCACAGACATGCAAAACCCCAAAACCCCACAATCATACCCCAAATGTGGGTGCACCCGGAGCTCCTGCGTGACCCCCGGGACCTCGGGCAGTGTCTCCCATTCAGGGGGGTGGGAGTGAGCCAGAGCCCGCGGCTCAGGGTGGGAACCGGGAACACCCAAACCCCTCCCGCAGCCTGGGCACGGACACGCCTCGCCCGGGGCCGTTCACACCTTCCCCCAGCAGCACCGGGCGCGTTCCGCCGCCTCATCTGATGCTCGTTAAAACACCCAGCCCCAAATTCCAGCTGCGGATAAATCCTTCCCACGCCGGAGCCGCGCTGCCACGAGAGAGAGCGGCTCCCCTCGGCTCGGTGGCATTTGGTGACCGCTGTCCCTCGGCCATCGGTGGCACCGGAGCCCAGCAGCGTCCACAAAGCAATTTCCCAGCAGGAATTAACCCACAGTCCCCCTGCGAAGGGGGCGCGAACGCTGCAGGATGGCACCTGCGTAGCGGCGCGGTCGACACCTGGAAAACCAGCCGGGAAACCGTCAAGGGCCAAAATCCTGCGGTTTCGGCCCAAAGCTGAGGCGGCGGCGGCGGCGGCGGAGCGGCAGCACCGCATTGCTTAGGCAATACCCCCCTCTAGTGCCGGTGCCCCTCGCGGCCCCCCGGGGTTGTCACCGCGCACTCGGGTGGCCGCTGATGCGACACAGCCCCGAGCCCTGCTCGGATCGGGGAAAACACCCGGGAGAACAAAGCCCCCCGCAGATCGCAGCCCCCCCAAGTCCCGCAGCCCCTCAGCCCGCTGGGGACAAGCAGCCGAACAGCCGGGAGTTGGGGGGGGGGTCTGCAGCCCCTCGCCCCTCTGGGGTCCCTGCACAGACCGTTCCCAGTGCCATTAACGGCGCTAAAGGGACAAAACGCGGTGTCACCGTGTCCCACGGCCACCGTGTCCCCTTCCCACGGCCACCGTGTCCCCCTCCCACGGCCACCGGCCCTGCAGCCCCCGCTGCCATCCGGCTGCGCTCCGGGAGCTTTTTGAATATGGAAAGCGCTGGGGAAAAGCGTTTTCTGTTCGGCCAAAACCCACCCAAGTGGAATGGGGAGGGGCGGGGGGAGGGAGGGCAGCCCGAGGAGTTAATCCACTTTGAATTGCAGCGGCTCCAGCCCGCGCTCCGGGTTGACAGCTTGACAGAGAAGGATTGGCAGCTCCCGAGGTGAGACATCCCGGCCGAGCCACGGAGCCGCAGGAAAACCCGGCTTGGAAGGTGGCAGGTTCCACCGTGTGGTTTTCCACAAGGGGGGGAGAAAAATTATAAATTAAATAAATAAAGGTGAGAAGGAAGGGAGAGCAGGGAGCTGGAACAGGCCCTGGCAAGGGGAATGGCTCCCTGGAGCCTCCCTGTCACTGGGACCCCCGGTGGCTCCAGAGACCACCACAGCATCGTCCCCCAGCTTCCACCCAGTGGCTGAGGCACCTCTCAGCTCCCACAGGACTTGGGGCAGGGTTTTCCCATCGGGATCCTCCAGGAGCTGCTGGAATACAGATGAATAACAAGCCGGGGTGAAGGAGAATGGGCACCGTGGGGTGATGTCCTCAGAGCCACACCTGCTCGGGTGGGTGATAGGCGAGCACAGCCCCAGGCAGGGTGTTAAATCCCTTCGTTTGGCAGAAAAAGGCATTTTCCAGGCGGGAAAGAGCCGGGAAGGCGAGGCCCGGCTCTGCCTCCCAGGGCTGCTGCCTGTCAGCAGCCGGGAATCACTGAACTACGACGGATGTCTCGGAGGGATGATAGGGCAGCGACCCTCATATTTTCTGCGGCGAGCGCTCCTGTAAGCTCCCTTTGTGCTGGAATGATGGGAATTCATTACAGACCACCCCCCGCCGCGGGCTGGCTCCCAGGGGAGGGATCTGCCGGCTCTCTCCGAGGCTAAATGGGATTAGGTTATCTCCCGGCATGGATACCCAGACAAACACACCAGGAGCAGTCCCGGAGCATCCAGCTCGGGACTCAGCACACGATGGAGGCATCACTACCAGCTCCTCCAGGTGAGGATCCATGATCTGCTCCCAAATGGACACAGCCGGGAGATTTACTGGTGATGCTGATCCTGGAGGTGTTTGGTGCCGCTGTGTGTTTTGGGGGAAAAGTCACTCCATTGTGTGGCCGCCACCAAAGGACCCTCACCCTAATCCTGACCCTCTCAGCCTGTGATCAACTGCTCAGCAAAGTGTGGCACAGGCTCTGCCAGCCCTGTTCTGCCAGTTTTGGGGC